TTTACATTTTAGTCGAACACTGGAGCTTAAACTCGTAAGGCAACTTTTTAAGATGAATAAACCTCTTGCGGATGACATTGTTCACCCTTTGTTACACAAGTCACATAAAACCAAAATGTAAGCACGAGTAGACAGCCAGATAGAGGGAGAATAAACCTCTATGAACCAGTTTGTGACTAAAACATTAAGTCGAACCTAAAGTGAGTAAATACTGTATTTAAATGTTTTGTTAAAGCGTGATATTTATGAATTCATAGTTTGCAATTTGGAAGTAAGTGGGAATTCCGATTTATTGAAATAATATGTGATGCTTTTAAAATTGATAATACAATATTCCTATCCTGAAGTATAAAACGTGTAAAGTTTCTCTTCGCTTCTTCTCAATAATAATGATACTGGAACCAGCCTTTTTTCCTTGACCAAGAAACTTTACATTCATTGCTTTGTACTGATTGGTTCCAGGAACGGATTCAAGAGTGTTTCAATAAACTTATAGCTTGCAACACAGTCGAACTAAAATAAATGTGTATAAACATTGAAATTGATAAATTCTTCTTTAGTCGGGGATTGCATACTGCACTTACCACTACCATCCATGTACATGTTCAGTTTAACTGAACCTGCAATATGTAATCTTTTTTTCATATTCTTTTTATGTTGGATCGCATTAATGGAAAATAAATCCTGAGCTTTTGAACATTAAATGTTTTGATTAATGTTCAATGATGTTTTGATTTTTTTCTTTATTTAACCAGCATGAGTGGTGTATATATCCTTAGCAGGTCAATTTTTGTTCAGCGAATCATTAAACTCGCTATATGAGTGTATAAGTATATCATTATTTCATTGATAGTTTATATTAATTCTGTAATGATGTGTTTCTTGATTTTTGTTAGTAAATAAAAACACTAAATATTAAATGGCATAGAACGTATACTGTATCCTTGTTTGAAAGCGAATACTTAATAATTGCATTTTAATGAAAAGTAGTTAAAACATTTGAGATCATTGCTCGAACAAATTTTAAAAATAAAGATCTTAAAATGTCCGGAAATGGCCGGTCAGTTGATATACGAGTGCCTTTCTTTCTTTTTATTTTAAAAAAGATTGGATAAGATTAGCACATTGCCCTCTCTAAATATCTGTTGCATTATTATGTAAAATGACGTGCGGAAGTGACTATGTTATACCTTAGCTTAAACGAAAAAAATTTCAATTTCTGACCCTTTTAAAGCTATATTGTAGAAAGTAATGACTGTGAAATTTAAAGATTGTAACGTTTGCAAGCTTTATTTAGAAACTATTTGTAACTTATCTTTGCCATACTTAACATCTAGCAATGTCTGGCATGATCACGTCATTTTACTGACAGCATGCAATCGTCACCTTTTATGCTTACTTATCCTAAGTGACAAGAAACATTGGAACTGTTATGCGAAAAAAGGATTAAATGATGACTTTATTCGTGTACTTCAAAGATCAAGCTATATTCCACATATTAAAGCATGACAAATTAATAATACAACAATTGTTGAATAGGAGTACATTATTCTAGAACAAGTATTAAATATTACATTTCCTTCAATTATGTTTAAACACATGAAATATGTTTTAACGTAAATATTTCTAAATGAAAACAATCTTAAGAACTAATGTCAAAAAGATATCATGGTAAAGTAGAATAAAAATAAGGAAGTAGAGATGTATTATTTTTAAATATTGATGAGAATTGTCTTAGAAAATGAATATCGTATACCAATTAAATAGAAATGTTTTCTATTTTACATAAACACATTCAAATAAAGCAATGTTACATAATTACATTTTCTATAAATAGATATTTATAATTGGTACTAATGGTTAATTAAAAGCGGCATTCAGTTTTTCTAAAGATTTAACATGTCATTTTGAGATAAATCGGTTCATTTAATTGTCAAATCAAAAGAATTAATATAGAAAATGAAACTTACCGACGATCAAATATATATACTATAACGAAACCCCTCGATACCTCTAATCTACCTTTCCGCTCTCTATTTTTAAATTCGTTTCCCGATCTTCTATTTTTAGGAAGAACATCACTTACACGTTATAAAAAATCCAGGGACGCTATTTTGAAGAAGACTCAACAGTAACATGATCCATATTTTCAAGATAAAATGACTGAAATACACAGAATTGTTTTTCCAACAAAAAATAAAAACTGAATGCCGATTTAAGTTTATTTCAAACACATATAGCAATAAGAACACTTGTCGATTTGTAAAAAATAAGCCTATCGAAAAATAAACCTTAGATTGACTTCAGATAAAAAGATCATTAACAGATATTGATAATCCATCAAGTATATGCCGAAATAATTATTATGGAAAGAAATGCTTCAAGGCTAGTATAAAAATTGAAACGATAAGTAAACCGAAAAAAGCATCGGTGTAATAAATAAATAAATAAATAAATAAATAAATAAATAAACAAATTAATTAATTAATAAATTAATAAATAAATTATTAATAAATAAATAAATTAATTAATTAATTAATTAATTAATAAATTAATAAATAAATTAATAAATTAATTAATTAGAAAAATGCCTCGGTGCAACAGTAATAAATAAATAAATAAATTAATTAATTAATTAATTAATTGTTCAAGGCTATAATTAAAAATGAAACAATGAATAAATCAAAATTGCCTTTTATAACAGTTATAAATAAATAGTTATAAACAGTTATAAATAAATAAATAAAAAAATATGATAGTTTTACATTCCTTAACAAAATAAAATAGGCTTGGTCCAGAAAAAAGTCTCAAAACACTACATTAATATAAAAAATAATAAAAAATAAAAATCAATTAAATGGTTTGTAGTGAAAAAACTTTAATTAATAATAAAAATGATAATGATAGAAAAAAAATACTTGAAAGGCAAAAAAGAAAAAACAACAACAAAAAAAACATTGTATACAAAAAAGATATTGACTTGAATGAGATAACAAATATTATAAAACTCATTAGAGATAACAACAACAACAACAAAAACAACAACAAAAACAACACAAAAAACAACTACTAAATTAAAAAATGAATAAAAGACGAAAATGTTATTAGACTGACAAACAAGAAAACTGTACAAGCTCAATTTTCCCATGTTCTTTCAAACATATAGGGCACATTAAAACAACAAACAATAAACAATGTTTATATTTATAAGAGGGTTGTACTAATAGTTCTCAACAGCGTAGGGCGAAGAAAACATACTTGTATTTACTGCACTCAAATGGCACATTCTTGCAATGTTATTGCACACTGGATGCCCTTACAATTGATAAAGAAAGAAAGGAATGAAACTATATCCGTCATGGCGAGTGGTAATTTCATGGAATTGTGTTAACATCGAAATGAAATTGTAACCTGCGTCTCTACTTCTATACTGCGCAGGTTCAAATATGTGTTATTTGTAAACCCATATCATGAAATGTATGAAATTTTGCATGGATGGTTGGAATATATTGGATTTACAATGTATAGAATTGAAAACGCTATAACGAAATGATGAGAACTTCACTTTTAAGACAGAAATATGTGAAATGAAAGATAAATATGATTAAACAAATAAAAGTATCTGTACTTGAGATGCAAACTTTGCTGCTAAAACTGATGATACCAGCAAACTAATCTAACGACTCAGGGTGAACAACGATTTTCTTATGATATTTGCAATTAATTCGATATCGTTCGTACGCTCGGAACTGTTTTCACACATCATGGGTAGTCTAAGTATTTTCACAGTAGTTCCAACCTAGATTAATCATAAATTATACAATAACGGTTGTATTTACGTGTGACTGAAATTAGCATATGTGATAAGGTATGCAGAAATCTTCACACATGCTTAAATAAACGAGTATCAAAAAGTCTAAAACAGCTTACGTGGCTAAACCTAGGATATACGCTCACCAATAAAAAATTAAAATCAATATATGGGAAAACGAAAGGCTAAATTTGTTCACTTATTTTAAAATAAAAATATTGAAGTATAAAGTTACTCTTGTGGATATATATTATAAAAGGGTTTAAAGTATTTGCTGAAATAAAATCGTAAGGTTTGAATAATAATAATGATAATAATAATAATAATAATAATAATAATAATAATGATAATAATAACAACACAGAATCATTGTTATAAGAATGATATTTTGATAAAGGGTTTTTTAAAAAAGGAAGTTCTAGACTATAAAGCTCGTATCTAATTTGTATTTACACTTACTTTTCTATTATTTCGAAGCTTAATTAGAATGTCAGCGTCTGTCAATGTTTGAAGCACCAACTCATTTTCATGAAGAAGCTCAACAAACTTAACGACCTTGTATATGATACAGATGTACTGTTTCACTGTCAATCTCTTTTCTCGTTGAAGCAATGATAGGGAGCATAAATTGTTGTTATAGATTCCATCTCCCAGTGCTACAAAAGGATGCATCAAAAGAAAGGTTCTTCCTATTTCTAAAATATAAGATTATAGACAGTTAATAGTACATACATGTATCTTGATAATAAAGACGACACGTATCTTAAAAGGTTATCCGGCAGTCAAAGCAAAATATAAAATAAATTTTCTCAAGCATATTTGGTTTTACTGTCACAGTTGTTGAAAACTTACTCTCACAGTATAAAGGCAAAATAATAATTCATTATTCTCTCAACAGACAATTATATTGTTCGCAAATAGTCAATATATATCATCTGAGTGCTAGATGAAGGAAAGTTCCGTTATATCGTAGTTGATGCATTCACCTCTAATGAAATTAGACATTTTGATAAAATGCATTTTTCAACATTTAAACGAGCAATTAATTGTGCTTTCATTATCAATTGTTTTCTCTTGGTTCCTTTTTTTATTACATAACTTAGATCGATCACTCTACATTTTGTTTATTAAGTTACACAATTTAAAAACATAACATAACAATAACTGCATTAATTTTACCTTTTCACAGCGTACACTCCATCGTCCACAGTGACTTCCGCTTGCGAGCGAAATATTCACCGTATAACGTAGATCAAGGCTGAAAAACAGGTAAAAATTGTCAAAATAAATAAATCATTGGGTTTTTTTTTACTTATATGTGTGGTTCTGACATAAACTATATTATTCATAATCAATATTCTAATGTTTAAACATATATTTTCAGACAAAATGCGGTTTCTCAATCAGATTTCCCGAAAAAAAATCAAAATTGTTTGCATCAAACGAAGATTTCAAAGCTTTAAACCTAATATTTCAACAAATCTTTTTGATGCTATCGAGAATTATGTTCTAAGCACCAGAAAAATAAACAATGTTATTTGTAAACGTCTTGGTTGCAAAGATATTGACCATTAATTAGCAACTGTTGATGTTCCCTCACTGTACGGTTGCTTGCTCCCTCTCTGTACGGTTGCTTATGAGCACTTGAAAAAAAACTGTACGGTTGCTTGGGAGGAAACTACGAGTTTTGTTACAATTAAAACCGCAATTCTTGAACAGTTGGCCCATTTTAAAGGTTACAATGGCATTGACCATGCATTTAAACCAAACAAAATGATATGTTGGTTTAATAACTAATGTATGTCAAACTTTGTGATGGTAAATTGCGACTTTAATATATACTTTAAGTGATTGAATTTAACTGCAGTTAACATATTTACATGACATGATGTTCAATGTATATATTTAACGTTATTGTAACTTCTCTTTTTTTGTAGGTTAATACTAATCATGGAGACATATATGTGCATCTATTGTGATTTAGAGTGTAAACAGTTCTGTGAATTAATAGATCATGTCATTATAAGACATCCTGACGAGAACCTGAAGATAAGAATTATTATCAAAGAGGGGCAAAGTGTCAAGTCATACTCAAAAAATTTCAATATCATTCCCAATGAATTGAAATCTAAAAAAAAGTTTATAATTCCCGTGGAGAAAACGAAATCAGTAGAAGTTTCAAGAATTCCTGAATCCTCTCCATTTGGCAAGTGTGCTCGAACTTCGACACCAATAAAAAGCATCCATGATTGTCCAAATTTAAACATGGTTGAAACGACTGCTGATGATCTTAGCGCATATTTTGATGACATGCAATTAGACGTTTTTGAAAAAACAGTTTCTGTTCAAACAGACCCAACGATAACATTAGATTTATCTTCAATAGAAAAGCCTGATCATGACGCAATAAAAGACATAATACAGAAAATACCTGCTGTAATTGACTATCTCCATTCGGAAGGACAATTGGAGATGTACACGAAATTTACGTCCTTACTCGCGGATAGAAAATTGCCATTGACCAACATTGCATTCTTACTCTTTTCTGATGTTGTCAATTGGTTCACTTTGGAATCTTCTAAGAAAATGAGATATTCAAATGATGTCAAGCTATTCTGGAACATTGGGCTGAAACTGTTCAAGGGCAAGTTCCTTCGTTTCATGTCAGGTTGGAAAAATCAGGGCCAAAGCAACCATAATCCATCGGAATCAAGTATTAATTTCGCGGTTCCCTCTCGTGGATACTTAGAAAACTCATTTATGTCGGACAAATTTAAAAACATGCAACCAGGAATTTTACATGACATGATTAATCTTATTAGTGAAAGTGATCCTAACAAGTCTAAAACATTCAAGTTATGTGTTGATGGAAAAAAAATAAATGCAGGTTTAACAAAGCAGAAATATGGAGACGTGAACCTGTGGGGTCTTGAAGGTCCACCTAGCCTTGAAGAGAGAGAAGGAAAGTTAGAAAGCGATGTTAAAAAGATTGACGATTTTACCACAATCATTGAAAAACTCGATCAGAAAGGTATTGACAGTATTGCCGAAGCACCTGAATTCAACAGAAACGAAGTGGCTGAAAAGGGAAAAAATATATTGATAATTATGAATGAAAGAGTTAAAGAGCTGAGAAGTGCAAAACAAAACAAAGTTGTAACTTTAGAAAAATTAAATAAAGCATGCATCAACGAAAAACTCAAAACAAAGTACTCTTATGCATTAAGTGCTATCAAAACCTACATATATCGCGTAAACATAGCAATTAATAAAGTTATGCAGTTGATTAACTATTTTGGAGAAATAATAGCAGTTAGCCAGGAAGTCGGAAATGTATACATGCAGGATTCTTATTGTGACCTTTCTACACAGGGAAACTATATTTGTCTAACAGGTCCTGAAACTGTGGATATGTCCTCACATAACATCGAGTCATCAACAGTTAAGCAACGTACTGAACCTTGGCATACGATAAGAAAAGCAGCTCGTGTTACTGGCAGCACTTGTCATTGTGCTATTGGACTCAGTGGTTTAAAGGGTCAAAAGCAACATTTTGAACAAGTTATCAACAGAACTGAGAAACCACAACCTACAAAAGAAGCCATTGAAAGGATGCAATACGGAACAGATAATGAAATCAATGCTGTTGCTACTTTGACATCTAAATTCTTGCCCGTTTATCTACCTGGCACAAATTTCGTTGAAGAAGGATGTGAAATCGTCAGACACAATGGTAATATAATCATTGTGGTCAGCCCAGATGGCAGTATTCGTGGAAAGGAAGACGTAGATATACAATATGCTGTGGAAATCAAATGTCCATATCCAGGAAAAGTGTATACGACGCCTGTGTACTATAAAATGCCCTGGTATTATGTATCACAAGTCCTAATGGAAATGTATGTCTTAAAGGTAAATCGGCTGTTGTTTGTTTGCTACAGTTCTGATAGTTCTACAATTTTCGAAGCGCCTTTTGACGAAATATTGTGGACAGAAATTAACGATCGAATCAAGACATTATATGGTGACGATAACCCTTCCATTATGACAAGACTGCCTCCGGGAAATAAAACTTTGATTGAAAAGATGAAAACCTATTGCAGTGAAAAAGTAAAGTTTATTGCCGAAATTCCATCAGTGAAAGTTACCAAATGTTGTCAACATGCTGAACAAAGTAACAATGAATTTGATATTGGAAGAAACAAACATAAGACAACTGACAATCAGAATATAAATAACCCCTCACCATCGGGGATTATGACGTATTTACATGAGGCAAAAGAAATGCTTAGAGAAGCTAATGACTTACAGAGACATTTAGCGAGTGAAGTTCTAGTGTTTTTGATTTCAGACTTAGACAGAATACACGAAAGGGAAAGGCAATATGAGATTCCTGTGGCGTATGCATTAAAAGGTTACAGTTTGACTTCAGCGACATTGAGGGAAATGATTGACAAGGTCCTTTACGATTGTTTTAGAATGGGAGTATATGTTCCTGCTTTATCTTATGATGGACTGTGGTCAAAGATAGCTGTTCGGTCGAAAACAGAGTTTCCATTAACTTTACTTCAATTGCAGAAGGACATAATGAAAGAGGCAAGATCAACTGATCAAAAAGAAATTTTAAATATAATTCTGCCGTCAAATTGCGTAAAGGCTGAAACGTTTGTAGATGTCGTTGAGAAAACTGTCTGTGAAATAAAGCTAGATAGAAATGGAAACTTCATCTCAATTGATCTCTACCGTGCCAGAAATTGTCACACAATTTTCCGAACTTCTGCCACAACGAACAAATATATGAAAAAGGAGCAGAAACTGAAAACAAAAGCTAAAACAAATCAAAACGAGGACAATTCGGTAGACATTTCATCAACTGTTTCTTCTGTACTAGACGCATTTGTTCCAGATGTTGCAGAAAATATTCAAGACGATCTGTTGCAGAACATAGAGGCCACAGTAATCGATAGTTCGAGAACTGAAACATCAACACAAGAATTGGATCTGTCTACGTTTTTCGATGAGTTACAGTCTCCACAAGAAAATGATCAGAATGTAAACGCAAATTTACAGGATATAAATACCCAACAAGAACTTGAAAACAATCAAGAAGTAGATGAAATGAATGAATGTTTAATGCAAGATGTGCAAGAAGATGCAGCAGAGTTTTTACTTGATTCCGACAGAGAGGAGATGTTAAAAGCCCTCAAACAAGAAAAATCAAGAAAATGGAATGATGTCACTAGCGAACAGTTTAAATCGATGTTAAAGTCTGAACGTATGATTGAGAGTTCGTTCACAAAAAATGAACTTCTTGTTTGTTTGGCTACAGTTTCTACTAAGTTAAAAGAATCAAACATTCACTTTGCAGTTTCTTGGCTGAAGAAAAAGCTAGTTGGTTTTACATATAACCTAAATGTAGGAAATTTTGAACATTTTTCGTCACAAAATATGAAAAAGAAGAAGAGCTCACCGAAAGTCGATAAATTGAGTAAACTGTGTACAAAAATAGTAAGGAAAATGTCTAAACAAACATTGTCATCCATATACGCTGAACATATTTACGCTGATCGATTATTGGAATGGCAAAACCATTCACCGTTTGCACGTGAAACACATATTGATGGTATTGAATATTCAGTGTCTTGGTATTCTATGCCCGAGTATGTTCCTAATACCTTAACATATTTGTTTGATTTTCTTGACAGTCATCACCTTTTCGTGAATGCGAGAGTTAAATGTTGTGGAAGCGGTATGCAGGAATGTGGTATCAGTAGAAAAGCCTGGGTAAGTGTAGCTGAAAATATGAGAACTAACAAAAGTGGACTTAATATAGCGTTAGTTGACGATCTGGTGGACAAACAAAGCAACGCTTTTGCTAAAAAAACATTCTCTGAAGAAGTAGAAAATGCAATGCGTGAAAGTGATTACTCCCAGGAAGCTAACTTCTGTAAATTGATAAGAGAATGGTATTCAGCAGAGGATGACCCCGGCATAGAAGTTACAGAGAGAATTAAAAGGCGACTTCGTTTCAGAGAATGGTTACTCTATGGGGTTCGACTGGATGAGTTCCCTCCATATGGAAGATTTGTCAAAGGAATCCCGCATGTAATGTTTGAGGGATTGTTAACAAACATAGAGAGAAAAATTCAGATTACACCTTTTGTCAAATCCGGTGCCTTCTGTCCAAGATCTCTCGGAAGTCTAGAGGCCGAAAATTTTTTTGGCGAATTCCAGGATCTCGATCCAAAAGGGTCTGGGGTTATACGACCTGATGATATACCCAAGGCCTTGCAAACGGCTTGTGAACTTATATCAACACGGCGAAATCCGGAAAGGTATATTTTTTTCTACCATATTGTCAGATATTAACTTAAATGTTTTAATATGAATCGGGTTCGCCTTTTATTTAAGAATATTTCATTACCGAAGACTTGTGAAAACATTAATTAACAAAATATTAATTCAAGATTTCATCTACAGAAATTCATGCCTTCTGCTTCACTCATTGAACTAAAATATATATGGTGTTGATATGTGATATCATGGAGTTGAATTCTTGAATTCATGACATTTCAAGGACTATAAATTATAAGTGTTGTTAAAATAATCATTTCGTGAAAATGAGTTTGTAATATTTGATATTGTGTATTCGTGAATTCTTTAATTTTAAAACATTTCTACGCGAAATTCGCAATTGTGATGTAAGAAATTGATCTATGCTCAACTGTAATTCGCTTTCTCATATTTACACATACATACGCACACGCCAATACCTTTCTGATAAGTAATATATGAATGTTAAAACATTTTTGCAGGAAATTCTACATGCATACAAGCAGAGCAAAAGTTTACGATGTGCATGAATTGATGGACTCGGTGGAAGACGGTTTTGATCAGACATGTTATATGACACCAGAGTACGTTTCCAGAATTTGCCCACGGTATGTATCACAGTATAATGTATCACAATAATACTTCTAATAAATGTTTGATGGAAGAAATATTTAAACAGTTATACCATGGTAATGTTTTGAAAATAATTAAGCACTTATTTTTCACCTAAAAGTTTATACACAATGTAAAATAAGAAGAAATAAATTTAATGATTTTAATACGTTTATATACGTTTTTATAAGTTTAATACGTTTATGCCTATAGAGCACTGCTTTTTTGCTTTTTTCTATTGCAGCAACCATATATTTGACCATCCATTCAGAGCGAAGCGTAAACATGCTAAAAGAAAAAGCGGAGAAATATCACAACCGGCATTGTCAGGACGAGGAGTTCAACCTGTACGAGAATATCATAGATTAAATGAAAATATGATAACAGCAGAAAAAAGATACGGTGGTTTGTCGGACATCTCATAATAACGTACTGGCAAACTGTGTACTGACAATATTTTAAGAAGTGTTTAAACTTTAACCAGATGTCTTAGACCGTAGACCGTTTCTCTTTCACATGTATAGACACTTTCATTGGGGCTTGAAAGCTGTTCATATCTTAAGGCATATGGACATTTCAAACGGAATGTAAAATTTTGATAATGGACATTACGACAAAGATAAACCAGTGTGTCAGTTTACAACCTAAGTTTTATATATTACTACAAAATGAGTCTTGTTGAAAATAAAAAGTCATGGTAATATCATCAAAATAGTTTATTATTATTTAAAATTATTAAAGACATTAGAAAATGGTAAAAATAAATAAATGAATCACAGAAAATCAGATATAATCACAGTATTAAAATAATATCAAGTGTACCTGCTCAGTAATAACAAAATAAAATAAAAATATAACAATAACAACTTTACATGTATACACGATGCAGAGATGAACTTTTATAAAAGTAAGTTTAAACAAACATACAAAGCTATATTTAAGTGTAACATTGATTGATATGATTTATCTTTTCAAATTCACAATTATTCTTAAATTGTCACAAATGTATATGTTTATTGTGTACCCGAGTCCTACATGTATATATAATATCAAAATGCAACTTCTATATAAGATAAGTAATTATTAATCTTCACCACGATTGTTGACCAAATATTTATTAAGTGAGTTTAGATGCCTAAAACACAACTTCCTGTTGTGTAAAATTAAAATAATATAATAAAATGATTGTGATAATAATAACAAGTAACAAATTGATTGAGATCAGCAACATATACGCCGGTACAGAGATGCTATATGTTTTATATGCTCTTTGAAAAATCAAAATAATTCTTCATTAGTGTGCAGTTTTCTTATGATGATTCAGGCCTGACCTCCATTTATAACACTTGTCACACTTATCACATTGAAGCTTTCGGCCACAGTGAACGACTTTCTCGTGATCTTTAAGGTGACTTTTGTTAGTGAAGTGTTGCTCACATTCGGCGCAATCATATTTGACGTCATCATGTATAGTCTTTTTATGGCGGTCTAAACTGCTTTTATGTTGAAAAGTAAGGTTACATTTCTCACATTTCTGTTTGGTGTGTTTAACATGCGATGATACGTGTCCCTTATATGGAAGCAACTGGTTAAATCCTTTCTTGCAAATCTGGCATTCATATTTGAATTGTTTTAAATGCTCATTTTTTGTGTGCAAGGCCATTCCAAATTTAGACAAGAACTGCATTCCGCATACATCGCACATCAATGAAGTTTTACTTGCACTTTCGTCTGTATCAACATGAACCTTAATATGCCTTTCTAGATTGTATTTCTTCCCAGTGTTATACTCACATATTTCACACGTAAACCGCTTTTCGTCAACTTTCTTTTTACCCTTTGTATCATGAACATGTATGTGTCGCGTTAAATTACCTTTCTTGTCGGTGGTATAGTCACAGATTGAACATTTATACTCTGGCATGGTCGTCGTTTCAACTTCAATTTCTTGAAAGCTTTCGTCTAGCCCGTTTAAAACAAATGAGTCATCCATAATCTGAAATGCAATAGTTGTAGAATTAGAACTGTATAGAAACTAAAAGTTTTAAAAAGGTGTCGCGTACACGGTGAAGAAACAATCAAGTTACAGGAACAGGTAGCGAAGTAGTAAATTACTAATAACGGGGAATATGCTAAAAATGACCCTGTTACATAACCATCTCTGCAACTTTTTTAACATAGGGTAAAGAAAATTAATGTTCAAAGCAGACTTTCACCGTTATAAGGGCAAAATAGTTCAAACCTGCCGTCAGTTATTTAAAATTACTTGCTGAAACTTGAATACGTTATAACTCAATAAAGTAATAAATTATTAGTGTTAAAACATTGTTGAGAAGTTAATTTTCAAACTATCTAGACGAGATAAAATGCCAATAAGCTCGCAAGCAACAGTACAGTGACCTCGCAAGCAACCGGACGAATTGTTTTTCAGATTTAGCAAGCAACCGTACAATGAGTAAACTACACCAGTGCCAGTTCTATTGTCAATATTTTCTTAACCGATGTGTTCAAAACGGATATTTCTTTTTTATTTGGTGCTACAATAATAGATCTTCAAAGAATTAAGTGGATTTGGTCGAATATTACATGGTAAGCTTTAAAATCGCTGTTTGATGTCAACAAAAATGGCATTTCTGAAAAATTGTGGTGAGAAATCGCATTTGTTAACGGAAAAAGATATTTTTACTGCAGGATATAGGATGGAAAAGGTTTATTTCATCTAACTCTTACTTACAAAAGCAGAATTTCTTCTTTGGTTATTCTGTATTGAAAAATTGTATCTGTTTTTCTCTCTGCGGTGGCGTTTTCCGTGTACAGCTCGCTCGCAAGCGGAAGTTAGAGTGGACGATGGAGTGTACGCTGTGCTTTTGCGTTTTCCGACTTAGTTTGCTCTTCTATGTTCGGGTTGAAACTCTGTGGAATTTAAAGTGACATATATTTAGACAAGTGAGGATAAAAATCTCTATTTTAGATCAAACCTTTCTCAAATGTATAGGCAAAATAGAGTATTTAATAATAGAAAAAATTGCGTTTTTGCTTACCGCCTTTCCTAAAATTGCTGATAATGTATACATGAAAGGATTCAGAGCAGAGTTGATAGGTAAAATAAGCACGGCTGTCCAGGCATAAATTTCACCAGGTATAATGTAGTCATTCAAAGCAAGGATACCTAGTTAAATAACAATTCAATCAGTAGATTTCTATAAAAAAGAGATTATTTAATCAAAATTATCGTTTACAAACAGAAAAGCTTACATAAAAAATTGCATGAATCCAAATCTGCAAATTATTTTAAATTAATATTTATTTTAGCAAAATTACATATACACGACTTCAAGAGTGTAAGACCAATCTAAATGAGTATTTTTAAGACTTACTGTATAACTTTTACACACTACTTACCCATTAATCCTATAGGAAACCAGCACAAAAAGTCCGTGGTCACTACAAGAAGTAAATTTCTTGCAACTTTTAAATCATATGATCTTGATACATTCATAGATTTCTGGACTGTTGTCGTTTTCTTTATTTCTGCATAAATCATCAACTGACCGACGGCAATAAGAACAAAGGTAACAAAATTCAGGCCAATGAAAATAACGATCGAATACAACCAACCGGAAGGTTTGTCACGTGTCAATGGCAATGCGAGGCAAACACCAGACTTGCTGTAGAAACTTCCTCTGAAGTAAGCACCGTACGTCACAGGAAAAACAGCTACTACAAAAGAAAATATCCAGCCAGCTATGCAGGCGATCAGAGCTGATTTAGTGTTAAACCTGACTTGTCCGAAGGGAAATTTGATAACAAGTATTCTATCCATGGTAATTAGACACATGAAAATGACGCTAGCCTCTGAAGAAATTGTTGATAATATTCCAGCAAATGTGCAAGTTCCACTGTTACGCCATTTTTCATCCATTTCGATATATCTATAAATGAAGAGTGGCCTTATTAATATCACTGTTGATGAACATATTGAAAATTGCTCGGCAATATTTAAATTAGTTTTATTTTGCTGCATGCTTATGCACTTGTAGGGATGTTAAGACAATCAATAAAAGTTTTTAAATCTAAATAAAAAGATCTCAGAAAATACTTTAAGACTCTTATAACAACCTTTACGTTAAAAATGTCTATTAAAGGAAAAGTATTTCGCAATAAATTACCTATCTGCAAACCAATAATCAGCAATTGCGATGATCAACATGTATATGCCCATGAACATATCAGCGACTGCAAGGTTGGTGACAAATATACCATATCCAAGTTTAAATCGTTTTCTATCACGTAAAACTCGATAAATTATGGACATGACGTTTCCTGAAAGTGCCATTATTCCTATAACCCACATCAGCACTCTTAGAACAGTTTTTCTCATAAGGTCTTCGCATGACGAAAATTCATCTCTGTGCGGTAAACATTGATCTTCGCTGAGACCAGCTGGTCGTACACAACAGTATTTGTACGCTGATGTCACAAGATGTTGGACTCCTATAACTCCAGCGAAAAATCCTTTACCAAAGTCTTTTATTGGGTTGTTTTGAATATAAATATATTGACAGAAAAGTCCATTAAATGCATTGTCTTTGATGCGTTGAATTCTGCTATTTGATAAGTCAAGTTCAGTAAGATTTAATCCGTAAAATGTATTTTCTTCTAAAAGTTCCAGACTTGCTTGCTTTAAATCTAAGGAATCTATATTCAGACCATTAAAAGCACCGGCTACAATTGTTCGTAGAAATTTATTTCCATGTATGCGTAACACTCTAAGAGACTTATATTTCGTTAACGTATTGGGCAATAATCTTACTAATGTATTATAACTCAGGTCAAGCGTAACCAGATTAGGAAAGCAATGAAACTCGTGTTTATCTATTGATGCAATATTGCACATAGATACATTGAATAAAACTACCATGTATTTATAATTATAACAATAATGTTCTTTTCCGAAAATGTATCTGCCCAAATATTTTGTATTACTTAAATCAAGTATCCGGGTAGTCTTATCGACGTAATGGTAATTATAAACATCATTTCCCGTGCAGTTTACAACACCTGTACTACATTGACATCCGCTGGGACAGTGCATTTCACAGTTATCTTCGTCATCGTGGAAAGGACAATTGTTTACTTTATCACATACTTGTTCAAGAGGTATACAAACACTGCTCATGCTACAATGATACATTCCGTTGCAGTCCAAAACATTACCTGTCAATATGAATTGGATAACTTATTAGTAAATACAAAAGTGTTTTTCAATAGGATTACGTAATCGTTCCATAAAAAGCCATATGAATGCAATTTTTGTTGTCATTATTATAAAATCAAATCAAATCATTGTCTATATCGTTGAGAATTAAAAGAACAAACTCATTGCAAGCCAATTAATATCATCCTTAACTGTTGTTAAGCAATGGACTTAATTTATA